ACGAAGAATACACACCGCCCAAACCCAGAAGACGACTTTCTTCATAGTCATCGCCGTGAAAACCTCAAAACTTACATATTAGTCTTTTTTTTTAATTTTGTTATTTCATGACTTATTGAGTATCGAGAATATCCCATTCATGATGGGATGAATAATGAATATGGTGAAAATCTGCAGGGGAAACCAAAATACACAGAGAAAACCTACCCCAGTACCAGTTTCTCCACTACAAACCCCACGTGATCTCATTTAGAATCAAATCCTATCCGCTGAGGCGGGAAGCCGGCAACTAACCCGCCTGCGCTTACGTCACGGCCCATGCAGGCTGTAGTCCTGTTTCATGATAATAGAGAGATGACTTTAAAAGGTGAGTTACTATTAATTACCCATGGAAAATTCTGCAACTCATGTATTCTATCTCTCAGTGTATCAAGCTGTAGTTGTTACCACACCTCTCAAACTGAGGCCTGTACTCTTTATTTCTTTTCAATTATTTCAGGCAAACTCTTGGATAACATTTGAGCCTTAGCGAACTACTTCGGCATCATGTTGTACTGTATAGATCTGAATTTGGAGCTTTTTGTGTCGTCTACATGCAACGTCGTTCACTATTCTTTCATCGCAGTCCTCTATTGGACACTTCATGCTTCAGCCCAATTGGCCAGCTGTTGGATCAACGTTGCACACAGACGGCACAAAAACCTCCAAAGTTTGATCCTTAGGTTGCTTAACGATATTGTATGAATTAAAAAGTAGTATGGAACCGGAAAAAGTAATTATAGAATTACTCTTGGTCTGCATAACTACATTTCCTCAGGTTGGAATGGGAGGATTTAACGAATCAAGAACTAGGAAGAATGTTGCAAGAAGTGGTCACGGTGTATTTTAAGATAATAGCTCAGAATTTGCTGAAACAGAGGAAACCCGTATACATATATTTTTTTTTTTTTTTTTTTTTGGCACCACAGCCCCAGTGGGCCTAGGCCTACCTCCATGAACTTCTCCGTTCACTTCGGTTTTCTCGATCTTACACATTCGGTAGGACTCCTTGGGCGGGTGATCAGCTCGTCGCAAGGCCTCTACCTGTACACAAACAAAGGAAAACGCACACATACAGACTAAACATTCATGCCCTGAGTGGGATTCGAACCGACAATCCTGGTTTCCGAGTGAGCGAAGACAGTACATGCCTTAGACCGCTCGGCTACCGTGACCGGCCGTATACAAATTAACCAAGTAAATAAATCCAATAATATGATTGATCACTTAAATCCGACTGATTCTGACACCAGCTGACCCGTATTTACGGCCGTAAAGAATCCAATATGGTCCGAACCACCAACTTTCGATACCAAAATGTCATGTTAAGGGGGGGTTCTAGATCGGATGAGTGAATTTATTGGCATTTGGGTTGCAGTCTCTCTTAATTACAATCAACAGCGCTATTGCTGATTTACACAATTTACAGTTCACCGTTACACACGCACCAGGGTTCTCAGTTCTCGCTAGTCGTCTCCTGGCAACGGATTTCAATACAGAAACTATCACTTCAAATCACTACGAAGTATTCTTCGACCCAATTCCCCATTGATAATTCTCTCTCTCAATTTCGCTGTACGACTGGAATCTCCTGGTCCGAACACTTAATTCAGCTTTGGTACAATTCTCTCAATCAAACTGCTAAAGTCAAAGCTATGTTACGACCGACGGTCAGTCTACCAGTCTGTCTTGGAAAAGAGCACCCATCTGGGGCTTAAGACCAAATTTGTATTACTGTCAGACAGTTGCGGGTCTGTTGATGTGGGGCGCTCTCTCTGACGAGACGACGGGTCTGTAGTTTGCCAGAGTCACAGTCAGCAGTAATAAGTCTGCTGTCAGTATGTCCGATTTACATTTTACATGCTATTAATTGTTTGTATGTATGTATGCATAACATATATCAGGCCTTTGTCAGTCCAGGCTTAAGTACAATAGATCATGACCTACCATTAATAGCTCCTGATACAACCGAAGTCTAGTCGCTTGAAAGATCATATGCTTGTACACCGCCAAGTTTAAGCCTCTTATAATTCCTGTGTCGGGGTACGCTTTGTCCAGTGCTTCGAAAATTTGCATTTTCATGATTTTGTACGACTTCCTCTTGTTGCCTGTATAATTTTGTTATATAATCATATATGCACGAACGTTTGAAAGCCATGTGCAAATTGCGAACTGATGTGCTCCTTGGAAAATTTCCAATGGTGCTGAAAACTTTGTTTTGCAGGCACTGCAATTTCAGTGGATGATTTTCTGTCACAAACTCCAAGGCGGAGCAAGCATAAGTCATGATACTCCTAAGACTGCTTCATGGAGGGTCAGTTTAATGTTAGCGCTCAATCGCTCACTTCTGAGTGGGGAATATATGGTAATAAACGTTCTGAAGGCCTTGACTTCGATAATTTCTATGTGTAATCGCCACGTAACTTTCTTATCGAAGATTACACCTAGATATTTTACACTAATTACAAATGGAATATTTCGACCATTCAGTGTAAGATGGGACTCAGGCGGTCGATGACTAAGAAGAAAGTAAATCCCCTGAATAGTATCTTCATTAATTTTAATATTCCAGCACTCACACCAGGTTTCTATTGAGCTGAGACCGCGCTGCAGTTTTCTAACAATAAAACCCTCCTTGCGAACTGTCGCATACAGACAGGTGTCGTCTGCAAAGAGGGCTAGGTAAAACACCAGGTGTTTGGTGGGCATGTCGTACAAAGTAGGGAACAGAACAAAACCTCGAGGCACCCCTGCTCGCATTTCCTTGGCGTAGTCATTTCGCCTTCCGCCGAAATACTGAATTTGAGTTGTGAAATAAAGGAGCTAATGAGCTTGACCAAACTGGTCGAAAATTCCAATCTGGATAACTTATATAGCAAGCCAGAAGGCCATGTGGCTTGAAACGACTTTTCGATGTCGAAGAACACCACGGCCGTAGACATATTTTTGTTGAAATTAAGGGTCAAGTGTTCCGTTAGCCTGATACATTGCAGTGTCGTGCTGTGACGTGCACGGAAACCAAACTGGCTTGCGTTAACAGGCTCTTTCTTCAATGTGCTTTTGGACTATATTCAGGATGACTTTTTCGAATAGTTTGCCTGTTGTGGACAGGAGAGTACTCGGACGTAAATTTTTATGGAATTCTAGGTCCTTAATGGCAGATGTTCTGGAAATTTGCTATATAGCCCTGACACGGACGAGACAGACAATATCTTTTTTGTTGTCAGAATAGTTGCTTAACCTAGCAAATAGTCAGAGAGAACACAGCTCCTACTGTTGCGTGGCTGCTGAGAAGTGTATCTTGAGTCGTTGCCTAGCAATGATCATGTACTTATTGTCAGTCGCTTAAGCGAGGTGTTCATCGCGCCGTTGCCTAGCTATACAGGTTACAGTACTTAATATTTCTTCTTGCGAATTACTAATAAGTCTATTAAATGACCAAGAAATTGCTCGCCTTTCGTGAAACCGGAAAATGCATTACCGTATTCACAGGAGTCCGCCACTGATCCCTATACTGTGCGGATGAATCCAGTCCATATTCTCAAACACTTTTTTTAAAATCCATTTTAATATTATCCTCGCATCTACTCAAACGTATCCAAAATAGTAGATCTATCCGCCCTTTATATTTCCGACAAATATTATATATGCATTTTTAATCTTTCCCACTTGTGTTACATGTTCCACCCATCACACCTTAACAAGAATAAATACTATGAAGCGCTTCATCTCATTACACAATACATTATTGGTTGAAGAATTAAATGAAGAAAAATGTTAATGTGTATTCTAAAGAGCGCTGACGATAGTGTATAATAATCAGAATTACTGGGTTTTGGGGCTTTGTCCTGTATTATAGAAACTAGAGAACACAATGTTTCAGCCCTCAGGCGAGAGGGGAGGCACATACTCTGTTGGGTCCTTTAGAAATAGCTAGAATTCTGGACGACTGACAAAATTAAAAAACCCAGCAATACTAAGAATGTTCATGTTCGAGAAAAATTAATGTTAAATTGTTCTGAATTTAAGTTGTACAAATTATCGATTTCTTATCGGCGAAACGAGGACAGCAGACAAATGGCGTCTGCCCTCCAACAGATCCACCTGCGATAACACAGATGTTGTCTGCAAAAACTGTTTAACGGTGCGTTATTTATAGGATAAGAGTATTTTATCTCACAGTTCAAATAAACGTATCTCAGAGAAAGTATATAAAGAGGAACATGGCTTAGCTTCAGCATGGAGAAGCCCCTAGTGAGTCAGGTAAGCCAATCATATTGTCACGTGTTGCGTGACTAATAAGACGGGTTTTGGATTGTATGAATGGATTTATTGAACATTATACATTCACACAACTCAGGACTGTAGGTAATACAGCGCTACTGCTATTCTACGCAACTTACAGTCCACCTCTGCACACGCACTGGGGTTCTCAGTCTTCACTAGTTGTATCCTGGCAACGGATTTATAGCAGTCTCACCGTCACTTCAAATCACATATGAAGTCTTCTTTGCACCATCTAATTCCATTTCTTGTCGTTATTCTGTAACTGCCAATTCCGAAGGCTAGACCCCATTCAGTTCTTCTGCTCCTATCTATGAAGGTTGGCGTCTCGACTCTTCACTACCGACTGCTACTCACTCTACTACTTCTCGACTACCCCTGCTTCTCCTACTTGGTCACATCAGTCAACGTCAGAGTTACTTTACGACTGGCGGTTTACCGCTCCTTGAGACTCACGACAAGTAATTTTGTTTTCAACTGAACACTTGCTGTTACAGTCCTTATATAACATCCTCTCTAACGAGAGGATGGATCGATAGTTTACAATTGCTGCTGGCTTCGCCAGCGCAGCCATTCTCAGGCCCGAGTCTCGCGGGTCTCATGACCATATTTTACTCTCTCAGATTCGAGACTCCACAAACATAAAGGGCCAGGTCCCTCATATTTATATCCCCCAGGAACAGGGCGGCCAGGTTTTACCCCCAGTCACTGGGACCCTTTTCTTTGCCGCCTACAACCCGCAGGGCTACGGTAGAGATATTCGACACCGACTACACAAGGGATGATCTGGTCGCGTCTCAAAGTCAAAGTCACATAGCGACTGACGGCCTGTCAGTCAATAAATCTTGGTGTCGAGCACCCTCCTGGGGCTCATGACCCTCATGACCAGATATATATTACTGTGTGACAGTCACGGCTTTTTTTCTGTGGGGCGCCTTTTCTGACGAGAGGACGGGTCTGTCCTTCGTATATGTTGCTGACCCTTGCCAGCGTGGTTTTTCTCGGGTCCGAGTCCGTTGGGACTCGGTAACATATTTTACTGTCTCAGATTTGAGACTTCCCTTTTCGCCGCCTCCTACGACTCGCAGGGTCACGGTGGAGGTATTCGACCCCGCCTCCCCCTTCTGACTGTGTCCTTTTATAACCCCTCGGTACAGGCAACACAGAAAACACAGTCTGTATTGTTGACGATGAGTGTTTACCACGCCGTTGCTTAGCAATATACGTCTTATGGTTTCACGCATTTGCTTTCTATCACTTACAAAGATTCATGTGACAATTATTCACTTCGAAATTCTCTTTAAATTCAGCCTGACATTTCCTCCTCGATTTATTTTCATACACAATGGCTGTTTCACATCCTGTTTAAATCAGTTCTGCCGGAATTTGGTCACTGCCTGGCGGTTTATAACTTTTCAATTTTGCAATAGCAATTTCGAACTAAAGAGGGACTAAGTCCAGGTACTAATGCCTCAGCTGTGTATATGCCTAACATCACTGACCCTATGTACATTCAATAACTGAGAGAACTATTTCTTCCTCGTATTCAAAATGTTATGGGAATCTGCAAGCAGATCACCATTCTCATCCTTCACTAAGTTACTGATAGGCTGGTAACCCCTTTTAATGTCAATTATTCCTCTATACAGGTCTCTAATGTTCTTGTTCTTACTGTTCATTGCAATCTCATCATTGTTGTTTTCAGATATTCCCTCTTTTTGTTCCTGAAATGCCTCCTGGTTTCGCCTCTTCTGTTCTTCAGCTTAATCAGATTCATTTCGTTTGGATCGTGAAACATAAAAATTAGAACATACAAAACAGAATTTTGTCTGTGGTTCTATATGGGTATGAAACTTGGTCTCCGACATTAAGGGAGGAACATAGACTGAGGGTGTTTGAGAACATGGTGTTGAGACTATGTGGACAGATGAGAGTTGAAGTGAGGGCAGGTTGGAGAAAACTACATAATGAGGAGCTTCATAACTTGTACTCTTCTTCAAGTATAATTAGAATGATCAAGTCAAGGAGGATGCGATGGGCATGGCATGTAGCACAAATGGAGGCGAAGAGGAATGCATGTAGAATACTGGTGAAAAAGCCAGAAAGAAAAAGACCACTAGGAAAATCAGGAATTTGGTGGGAGGATAATATTAAAACAAGTCTTCGAGAGATAGGATGGGATGGTATAGACTGGATCGATCTGGCTCATGACAGGAGGGCTCTCATGAACACGATAATGAACCTTCAGGTTCCATAAAATGCTAGGAAGTTCTTGAGTAGCTGCAGAATTGGTGACTTCTCAAGAAGGGCTCAGTTCATGAGTGATACGGTGGCTGTTTAGCACAAGCATTGAAATTGTGCTATTTTCTGCCGCTGTAATACCGTATTTGTATTTGCGAGTATATTTATATTTCCAGTATTTATACAGATTTTCTAACAGACGTCCAACAATATTCATATTACAGGCTTGACACTCGAAGCAAACAAAAATGCAGATACGCATGCAAGCTCGCTGTACACCATAACAGTTTGCTGAATGTATTAGTACAGACTGCAAATAAAATGGGACTATAGGTTACAGAGGTTATAGAGCTCTACCAGCGAGTGGCAGGAATTTCCACGGAAAAATGAGCTAAGGCTAGGACCTGCAAAGCAAGGCCCGCCATACCGTACAACCGTAAGCAACTTCTCTGCGGTCTTTGAAGAGCCTTCTCATGTCATACATAATGTAAACAAATTATAAATGTATCAAACTATTTTACGCACAAAACCAGAAATTCGTTGAACTACTTTATACACATTAAGGGGTCGATTGTTTGTGAGGTCCGGTCTCCAAGTCACTTAGGATCGGGCCGCCACAAAAAAAAAAAGCCCGTTTACACTGCTCTGCACTGATACGAGAAACTTCGTGGTCTGTAGCCCTCAAGCGAACTATACCGACCAAGCGACCGCCGCTTGTCTGCGAAGTTAGTGCCTACTTTAGCGGATAGAGGGTGTCGCGTGGTCAGCGCAACGGATCCCCACGGCTGTTAATCTCAGTTTTCTAGACCGGAGCCGCAATTTCCTTGAAATATCTCCTCAATTTTTCTCTCGAGCTCGAGTGGAGTCCGTTCCAGACCCACTACTTCTCAGAATATCTGGTAGCGCCGGGAATGGAAATCAGGGCCTCTGGATCTGTAGGCAGGAACTCTGACCACTAGACCACAGAGGTGGTTGCACTCATACGAAACTTCAAAAATTATTTATTACTTTTGGAAGAGGTCTTTCGCAGCAAGATTAATGTCTTTCTGGAAGAGTTTACGGACAATTATTCGAGACCCGAACTCCGACAGTGCGTGTCTGTGGAAATCTGTCGCCTTGTTATTCAGTTCCATAACCCTCCAGACAATGTGCATGATCTCACATTATAATAAATCCTTGTGTTGATAAAGTGTTCAGTTATGTTCACATTTACTTTTATGATATGGTTTCCAGAATTAGCATTCACAGGTGACGAGTCTGCGGTTCCAGTTTCAGTGGTAAAGAGAAATGAAGAAATTCATCTTCCTCGCTTTAGGTAACGTTAAATATTTAATATTATTAAGACCTTTATCTATCATCATATCATAATCATCAAGGGGCACGCGGTATCGTAGTTGACTGAGGTACCATGCTACAAGCTGGAAGGTCGCATGTTCGATTCCCGATGAGGTCACTGGATTTTTCAATTAACCTAATCATTCCAGCCGCACTATGGCCTGGGGTCACTCAGTCTCTTAACAGAAATGAGTACTAGGAATCTTCCTGGGAGTAAAGGGCGGCCGACGAATAAGGCTGATGACCTCACCGCCATCTGTGAGCCGACTCTCTAGAAAATGTGGGAGCCTCGATGCGACACAATCATACGGGCCTCCACGGCCTGTTACAGGGACAGCCTTACCTTTACTATATCATAATCATCATCATCATCATTTCCATAATTAGATCTACAAAAATATTTTACGAATCCCTCGTCGTTCCAAACATCTACCCAGACTGCTTTTTGCTTGTGGATGTTATTCTTGGATCTTCTATGATCCTGTCATAGTTAATTCTGTAAATGTCTCCTCTCTGATATCTTGTGCATTGTTTTATAAAGTCTCTATTCTCAGTTTTCTCATAATCATTTCTTTCTGAGTCCGAAAGGAACATCCTTCATCCCCCCCCATTTAAACGCATTTCTTCGCTCTTCATTGATTTGCCTTGTCCATCATTCATTACTGTAAGCAAAAATTAGTCTGGCAAGTGTCATGAATTCCTATTTTTGTACAGTTAGAAACTGACGACTTTTAAGCAACAGAACTAACTCCATTGAGCATATCCTTCGCTGAACCTCCAAACAAATTTCCCACCTCTTCTGGAATCTGACGGTTCTTTACCGTGTACAAAAGCGCCATCTACTTATCCATATCCCATGCCAGAAAAATTCAGGCCGCATGTTAGTTCTTTAAAATGCAGTTTAATATTATCCTCCTCTCCACTTCTAGTTTTCCTTCCAGTTTGTTGAGGGTATAATCGTAATAATATATGGTGACATGTATGAATATAATAAGATGAGAAAGACTTCTTCGCGCATTTATTTCCAGCCTCTTACCCCTTCCCCTCTCTTAGATCTAAACATTCTCCTGAACATTCGTTTCTCGAGAACCTTCATTCTACGCTGTTCTCCTACTGTGAGAGACGAAGTTTCTCTTAGCCTATATTCTCAGCACCACTTGACAGGGATGTCTACTCTTAACAGAGGGATTTCTCGGCTTGGAAAATTTACAACGTTAATCCTATTAATAAAAAGCCGTTTAACGTGAACTACTGTCCCCAGGTATTGGTATGAAAATATTATGTCAGTACTTTTTACTGAAATCTCCTGACAAAATTTTCATGCGGTACTTACGCAATTCGTCGAATAATTTCGTAGTTGAAGAAAGCAGTCTTCTGGGGTAATTATAGATCTAACATACATTTCCTTTGCTTCGGTTGTTATAAAGAACAATACAACTTCGAGGCGTTGTCCTTTTCTTATTCTTATTTTTCTTTCTTTTTCCTTTAGGATTTATTAACATCGAGCCCAACCCCCAGACAGGAGGACCAGTGACTACATGAATTATTCATGTGTTGTAGTTTGGTCTATTTGCGACTACGCATGCGTACGAGGTCAGAATTGGCATAAAACAAGAACCTGGATACGCGGATTGTGCTGCCAATGAACGTATCTTGCTCCGGTTTTAATCCGGATTAAAATCATGCTAACGTTTCCTGCTTATTGTACTGTTATACGATTTTTAAAAGTAGCTCCAAGGAGAAGGTCCTTCTTGAGAACCTGATTCTTGCTCTGTCGGTGAAGAACCTAAAATTTAAATTCCGTGTTTACAAAAGCCCACTACTGGACCCTATCCTAAGGCATATGAAATAAGTCTACACCCTTACAAGCTATTTCTTAAGTTCCATTCCATTGGCACTTTAAGTTTTCTCTTCCCTTGAAGGTTTCACGACTAAAATTTTGTATGCACTTCTCATCTCCCCATACGTACTTTATGTTCCGTTCGTCTCATCAACCTTCATTTGTAAATCCTACAAGCCGGGAATATAAAATTATGAAGCTCTGTTTTCCTCCTCTGATAATTCATCTTTCTAATTTGGGAGAGCTGTAGTAAGGCGTTAGAATTCCGTGCCAAATACAAAGATTTCAAGGCCGGTTGGTATTTTCTTGCATATCATCGTCTGTAGCCTCTGGGAATATAAATACTTTATGGACGTCAGAAAAAACTGGCCCCCATAGGCGCCATTTTCACCTAGGCACTGTCACTGAAAGCTTACAGAATCCGGCCCTGTGGGGGCTGACGTCACACAGATGGATCCTATCATTCTGCCCAGGAGGAAAAGGCTGCAAGGAACAATATACCATAATCTTTCAACTGTTACGTTTTCTGCGCGTTAGATCAGCCCTCAGTGAGGAATGTTTCTATCTTTTCAAGACTTTCATAAAACTAAAAATGTATCGATTCTTTTATCTTCCGTACATGACATTGCATGGTATTTTGTCTTACATCGTCCCGTAAGAAATACCATACTTCATCACTACTATGGTAGCCAGAGGCAAAACGAGCTAGTTGTCATACCTCGTGTTCGATCCCAGATCAGATCATGTAGGATCTGTAGTGGACAAAATAACACCGGAGATAGTCTTCTCCGAGTCCAGTTTGCCTTGTTAATTCTCATTCCATCATTTGCTCCACATTTGCTGATCATCCTGTCATCGACTCTATGTAGACTCGATAGTGAGAGCACTGGAAATATTCGTTGTAGTTTGAAGTGAAAATGTGTTGAACAGTGTATCCATGTTTAGCTGTGATGATGATGATGCTCGGCCTGGCTGCCGGAGCGTGTGATATACTGTGCACGAGGATCTACCTGCCTGTGTGCGCTGGAAACGGCGTCACGACGAAAACTTTCTCCAACCCCTGCATGTTGGACATCTACAACTGTGAAAACCCGGAGACTCGTAAGTTTTATCGGCTCGTATACGGTAGACTGAATGACAGATTTCCATGAAATCGAATACGAACTGTAGAACTATACTGAACTATTCTAAAATTACAGTAATAACACATTCTGAAATGTATTAATATTTATTATAATTTATATTATTATAATTATTAAGAATATTATTTATTTTTCATTGTGATAAATTATTAGAAAAATTAAGTTTTCAGACACTGCACAACAGACGTCGTCACTCGCATGCTCCATTTTAAATAAAAATTTACAAGAGCCCTAATGTTGTCCCTCAGCTCTGGACACAGTCGATATTCTTGTCCCTAAGCATATTAGTAGTTAGGAGTGTAAAGTTGTTTAGAGATAGAACGTCGTATATACTCGTAATAGTGAGATGTGTCTTGTGGGATATTATTGTTCTGAATGCTCATAGCACAGCGGAGAATAAAGCGATTATATAAAGACAGCTTTTGTGAAGAACTAGAGCATGTATTGGAATAACTCTTTAAGCGAAATATGGAAATTTACTTATGATGTTTAAAATCTGATGATCAAGCTACGAAGATTCTCACGTGGCAATATTCACAAGTACACAACAATTTCACCTAATGGAAAAACACACAATCAGTCATGTCACGTCAAGATAAACAGAATACTTGATATCAGATCTTTCAGGCGAGTTGATCGTGACACTGACCACTATCTGGTAACTGCAAACGGTAGGGACAGACCGTCTGTTTGTAAACAAACTGGCAACGTAAAAGTCTGATTTGGAGAAATTCAGTCTTACGCAGCTAAACGATACGGAGCTTAACCATTTCCATGTCGGTCAAGACTTTCCGCCTTAGAAGCCTAGAAGTCTGTGGTCGCGATTTATTTGATATTTTAGAGGATCAGTGAAAGCAGTGTTTCCGATTATCTCTTAGCAATCAGAGGTAGTTATTATTCTTTGCCTTTCTGCAATACTTACTTACTTACTCATGGAGCTGAGCCCTTCTGGAGGAGCCGCCAATTCTGCAGCTACTCAAGAATTTCCCAGCATTTCATGGAACCCGAAGGTTCATCACCGTGTTCACAAGAGCCCTCCACTGGCCCCTATCCTGAGCCAGATCTATCCAATCCATACCATCACATCCTATCTCTCTAAGATTCATTCTAATATTGTCCACCCACCTATGCCTTGGTCTTCCCTGTGGTCTCTTTCCTTCTGACTTTCCCACCAATATCCAATACGCTTTCCTCGTCTCCCCAATTCGTGCTACATAACCTGCCCACCTCATCCTCCTTGACTTGATCATTCTAATTATACTTGGGAGAAGAGTACAAGTTATGAAGCTCCTCATTATGCAGTTTTCTCCAACCTCCTGTCACTTCATCTCTCTTCGGGCCAAATATTCTCCTCAACACCCTGTTCTCAAACACCCTCAGTCTATGTTCCTCCCTTAATGTCAGAGACCGAGTTTCACATCTATACAGAACCACAGGCAAAATTATAGTTTTGTATATTCTAATTTTTATGTTTTTGGACAACAGACGAGAAGACTGCCTTTCAGCAATATAAAGCATATAGTGGTAACGCAACGTCTCTGAACTCTAGCAGCCATTTTGTTTCATGAAGTTAGGTACCATTTTTGTAAAGGCCATTATTTTGCCTTTTTCTCACACAGATTAAGGGCGACTTTGGTTGCTGATGTTGCGTGTACTGACGCAGTGCAGCTGCGTAGGACTAGTTTGGTGAAGTTCTCTTGAGAGCTCTGTATGCTCTTCTCCTTTCGCATGGCTGCATCCTCGACGTGACCTCGGATGAGGTTTCTCTCCTTCTCCTAGGGTTGAATTGCAGCAACTCGGCGTAGATTCTGTATCCGTCGTTCATCTCGTGTATTTCCGTCAGACCTCTTTGGTTACTTCTGTTCTTCATTTGAAAGTTGACTGGACAGCCGAGGTTATATTTCCGATAGGGACGGTTGAGCCTGTCCATTTATTACCATGTCCACAGAGAAAATTGGGCCCAAATAACTTTCTTTCAATGGATTTCGTGTAGTCTTTTTCCCAGGAGAGAAGGCGATGGCTGCGTGAAACGAACTACTCGACCTTACACAGTTCCCTATTAGAGACTGTGTACATATTTATTTTCCCGCCTCACATTTCAGTTCATTGCACGGTTCTTATTCATAGGAACGTGTGTATTTATTCTTCATTATATTATTTCTCCCTTAACTATTTGTACTTTTAGAATATCTTGATTGTGAAGTGTTTTGTATAATGCAGTATATTGTGGAACAAGTTTGTATTTATTATATTCTTTATTTACCCCCGCAGAATTACTTCAACTGCGAACTGGTGCTTGTGAATTTTGAAGGACGGACACTGGCGAAAGAAGTGAAAGAATTTCGATTTGGAATAAGAGATTCAGAATGGCTATGTAATTTGGGAAAAAAGGAAATTCATATATATTAAATTATGACTGTACTTCCTCATTTTTTTTCTATATGGCTTTTGAAAATTCATACCACATCGTTTGTTTGATTGTATATCTTATATGAACACAATTGCACGCAAGGGTTTGGTTGAGAAACTTCAAGCGCTTAGAGAAACAGGCTATGTTGGAGGTACCAGACCAAACTGGCTGATGACAGCTTCCAAGGATGGGCATTCGTGACCACGGTGAGTGATCTTCGGCTCCCTGAGCAGGTGAAAATAAAGCAAGCTGCTCAAGAAAAGCTATGGACTCAGTCAGCACCACAGAAAGTCAGATAATTAGTTATTTGTTAGTCGAGTAGTTAATTTTTACTTCATTAATTAATTTACTGTTTGTTGTTAATTAGTTATTTAGTTTGGTAATCAGTTAATTGACGATTCAGTATCCACACGGTCTAAGACATGAACTGTCTTCGCTCGCTCGAACTCTGGGGTCGTGGGTTCGAATCCCACTCAAGCATGGATATCTTTGTGTGTTTATTCTGTTTGTGTCGTTCTGTGTGTAGGTAGCGGCCTTGCGATGGGCTGATCCCCGTCCAAGCAGTCCTACCAACTGTGTACAAATTATGAAACTGAAAAAGCAACCAAAATCTAACAACGGGCTGTAGAGCATAGATAGAATTAATTAGTCAGTTCGTTCCATCGTTCATCGAACGACGCTCTAAGTATGGCAGACTACATGATTATAGCGTACAATTGTAGGACGATTTGTTCCTAATCATTTGCACAGGGTTTGGAAGGAAGCGATCATCACCTAATTTGAAGTATTCTATCGACATTTGTCTGGAGGTATTGAGGAAAACACGGTCCATAGACCGAGATTTCAACTTGAGATAAACCGAATATGAAACTGTGTTTCCCAGTTGACCTCAGCATTTGACATATTTGCAGTTAATTCTGCTCCCTAACTCATATCTCGAATGATTGACGGTCACTATTATAAAACTGGACTTCGATCTACTGGGTCAACCTATCTATCTATCTATCTATGTCTGTCTGCCTATCTATCTATCTATGTCTCTATGGCTCTACAGCCCTTTATTACAGCCTGGCCGCTTTTTCAGTTCCTTAATCTGTACACAGTCGGTAGGACTAAATGTTTGGGGGGGGGGTCAGGCCGTCGCAAGGCCGCTACCTACACACAGAATAAACATATATACAGACATCCATGCCTCGAGTGGGATTCGAACCCAAGATCCCAGCGTTCGAGCGAGCAAAGACACTTGATGACTCAGATGGCGCGGCCACTGGGATCGGCACTGGGTTAACCACTCATTGTACACTAAGCGACCTCCGACGCTCGAAGTTGCCGAGGGACTTCTTTCTGTTACATCTTCTCCAGAACTGTCGAACTAATGTCTTGTCCGGTTTTGACGCAGTATGACTCTGGGAGCTGCTGCCGCATCGTCCGACCGAGATAATAGGCTTTGAACGTTGCTATTTCCTCTCGGCCCATCAGTTGTAACAGACAGGTCGTATCTGGTGGCATGAAAACGCCTTGCGTGTTGTTAGCCATGTTTTAGAGATTACAAAATGGCCGGGCGCATGTGCATCCGTTATGTTTTTATTACCAGCATGGCATAAGTCTGTGACATATTTCACGATAATTTGTCTATTAGTTCAAAAGGTTAATTAGACAGAAGTTAAGGTACAGGCACAGAAACATGCCCGTCTCTGAAAAGAACAGATAAATAATCTATACAACATGATCACACTATCAATCCAAAACTGTAGATGTGAAGATCATTTGAAATGCAGAGGTAACTCACGAGAAATTCACTGAATACTTGGTACGTAAAAAGCGTTTCATTCATTCATCAATGGCTCTACAGCCCTTTGTTGGGTCCTGGCCTCTTCTTCAGTTTCGTAATCTTTTTTACACAGACGGTAGGACTCCTTAGACGAGTGATCAGCCCGTCGCAAAGCAGGCACCTACACACCGGGCAACACAAACATACAATAAACGCACACACACATCCATGTCTTGAGTGGGATTCGAATCCACGATCCCAGCTTTCGAGAGAGCGAAGACAGTTCATGCCTTAGACTGAGCGGCCACTGTAATCGGCTATAAAAAAGTATTTATTGAAATATAATTCAACTTGATGTAAACATTGTAGAAGACATTAAACAGATCTAAATTGAAAACGGTGAAAAACACGAAAAATAATGACGTGTTTATATGCGTCTGCCCAAAGGGTCTGTTTTAAAATATCTGCAGCTTGTTATATAAAATATATGTATATATTTCAACATATGAACACAATATTACACGCAATATGATCAATGCGGCAAGCCTACTATCACAGGGAATATCATTCACTCATTTATTCACAAACAAACTCTGGACTAGACAATACATCGTTTGTATTTTTTTCTATTTTTATGTTTAAGGCTCGTAGTATGTGTGATATGGAAGGGGCGTTGTAACTACTGTTTTACGTGTTGCTGTTGTTGCTGCTGTTGATGCCGTTGTTGTTGTTGCTGCTGGTGGTTTTGTCGTTCTGGGTGTATACCGACCACATCTTCCAAGACCCAAATATTCAAACCCTAGAACACAAAATCACGAAGAATTTATCACGTACTTTCTAACCGTTATATTGATGCCGCTCTTGGACACATACACTACCGTGCAGGCACCTTTTCTTGAAATAAACACACATATGACAATAAATATCAATGAAATTTATGTTAAATATTTTCCCGAAAGATCGTAGACCCTATGTTTATCGTAAGACGAAGAAACAATAAATTTCCTTCGAGATTCTAGAGGGTTATGACGATGGTGTATAACACACATAATTACTGGGTTTTTGGACTTTTTTCAAGGTCCGGGATTCTAGAGAATAGAAAACACAACGTTTCGGAAACTAGATCTGTTTCCTTCCTCAGATGAAGGGGGAGAAAACCCCTACTTAATTAGCTGTGTATATCTGACATGGTTTGCCCAGTGACTGAGATTAACTATTTCTAAGGGACTCAACTGAGTAGGTGTCTTTTCCCCCTTCACCTGAGGACGGAAACAGATCCAGTTTCCGAAACGTCTTTTTTTTTTTTGTATTTTCTAGAATATCGGAAGATGAAAAAAGTAAAAACCCCAGTAATTCTGTCCAATAAATTTCCTCGTGTGCTCAAGTTCAAATGGCAGCATAAATTTTTATATCTGTAAGCGATGTATAAGTTTACTACAGAAAAAAATATCCACTGGATCTTAATTCTGACACCTCGTCCCAACTGCTTTGCAGTATCTAGGTAAAAGGTAAATGTATCCTGCAACAGGCCGTGGAGGCTCGGAGGGTTGTGAGACGTCGAGGTTCCCACATTTTCTGGAAAATCGGCTCACAGATGACAGTGAGGTTAGTCTTAAGCGCCGGCCCTTCTTTATCCCCAGTAAGATCCCTGGTACTCATTTCTGTTAAAGGCTGAGTCCCCCACACGGCCACAGTGCGACCGGAAGGATGAAGTCAATTGAAAAATTGAATGACCTCATCGGGAATCGAACCCGCGACTTTCCAACTCGAATTATAATACCGCAACCAACTACACTGGTATCTACGAACAAAAAAATACAGTTACTTCCCTTCCATTCCAACGTCTTCTTCTTATCATCATTAATATGCACAGTGTACATAAACTGAATAGACGCCGGCTCTGGGGTCCACCAAACCTCCTATCCAATGGGTACCGGGGGCTCTTTCCCCGGAGTTAAAGTGGCCGAAGCGTGAAACTAACCACTTACCTTCAGCCAGTACCGAGGTAAAGAAAATGAGGGTCTACACATCCACTCCTTCATAAGCCTTCATGGCGTAGTGTTTAATTAGTTAAGCACAGGGACAACTTTATCTTAAACATAGACATAACGCCTAGAAAGGACATGGTGTCTTTCCTTGTTTCTTTCATTGCACATGATTGCCGATGGGCGCGTCTGTATTACTTTCAATAGATGTCCTTATGAAAATCTGTAAGGCCATTTTATTTAATGAAGCCTACGTCATAGAAGTACACTTTCGTAAGGGAGTATTACGCAATGAAAGCATGTACCTTCTTTCGTGGGTTATTCACCGAAGCTTTCAGCACTGACCCTAAGCAGCGTCAGGTGACAGACGGTGAAATGGAGAGGAAATGGGCTGGAGCGGTTGTGGCCTAATCGAGGTATTCGTTCATTCACTCTTTCATTCATTCATCGATGGCTCCACAGCCCTTTGTTGGGCCTTGGCCTCTTCTTCAGTTTCGTGATCATTTTTACACAGTCGGTAGGACTCCTTGGACGAGTGATCAGCCCGTCGCAAAGCTATTACCTACGCACAGGACAACACAAACACAGAATAAATGCACGCACAGACATCCATGCCTTGAGTGGGATTCGAACCCATGATACTAGTTTTCGAGCGAACGAAGACAATTCATGCCTTAGAGCGCGTGGCCACCGTGACCGGCAACTGAGGTACTATTCCGGTATTTTCCTGGATGGACTGAAGAAAGCCACGAAAGACTTCAGTCAGGATAGCCGGGTGTCCCTACCTAGATTCTTGCCAGGCACTCCCAAACACAAGTCTAGAGCGTTACCTTCACAAGAAACTGTTGTGTAAGAATGCATGTGAAAACTGCGTGCATTCTCGTACGGATTGCATCTTTCTAGCCTCCTTTACAGTCCTTCCTTTGGAGCTACTGGCTGGATGGCCGAGGAACCGGGGTTTGATTCCATACAGGGGCAAGAGATTTCTCTCTTATCCACAGAATAGAAACCGACTGTGGGGCCCGCCCGTCCTCCCGTATATTCAGCATCGGGCACCCTTTCCGTGGGGGTAAAGCGGCCGGAATGTGAAACTGACCACTCACCTCGAGCTAGGACCGAGGTCAAGAATGGTGGAGCTATGCTGCAATTCCTCCACGTGTCTTCATGGCATGAATTTAGCATAGGAGCAACTTTACCCTCACCTTTCCTTAGTTCAGCAGCATGTACTTGATATGAAGTTTACGTGCGTCCTCCTGCACCATTGTACATGTTTCGTGGTTTATTACAAATATCTCTGTGTAACCACATTGTCGTGAGACAGGTCAAGTGGATTGAACAATGCGTTAATTAAATATTGTGTACTTATCTATCTATCTATCTATCTATCTATCTATCTACCTATATCTTTATAATCGTTTGTTGGACCTTGGCCGCTTTATCAGTTTCTTACACAGTCGGAAGGACTCTTTTGATGGGGATCAGGTCGTTGCAAGGCCGCTACCCACAGACAGAACAACACAAATACAGAATAAATACATGCAGACATCCATACCTTGAGTGGGATTCGACCCCACGATCCCAGTGTTCGAGAGAGTGAAGACTGTTCACGCTTTAGACCGCGCCGCCACTGTGACCGGGCATGTGTACTTATGCATTCGGCAAAATAAAGTTCATTAACGTATATGTGAATGCGGACCATAATAACTCAGTCGGTAAAGTGACAGACTATGGCTATGTGAGCGGGTATGGTTTCGCATAGGGGATTCCCTTTTCTCTACCACTAGCGGAATAGCTTATGAAGTGACTGTTTATGGAATTGATGACTGCAGCTCGATTTAAAGTAGGGGTAGGGATTTTTCTCTTCGCCAACATACCGAGATCGGTTCTGTGACCATATAGCCTTCTCCCTACAGAGTGCAGGGGGCTCTCCCCCAGGAGAGATGAGTTGTCAACTTTACCTTTCGTGTCCGGAGGCAAATACTAACTCAACTGAGTAGGATTTTTACCTGAGAACGGCGACAGAGTCAAATCTACGAAACTTCGTTTTAATAAACATTTGGACAATTGCAAATTTCGAGAAAAATCGAGAATTGCAACTTCGAGTTCTTTACTTCCGGAGAAAAAAATGGAAAGCAGACAAGTAGGGCACTGGATATGTCCCAGAGGCAATTCAGTTGTAGTGACAGCAAAAATACTATACCTCTCTCAGCAATCTAACAATATCTATTCAGTTTTTGCTTATATTTTACTGGCTGACTGGACTCAGAGCACGACTTCGGTGTTTCTGTCTTATACTTGGGAGATTTTAAAATTTTGGCCTATAGATATTCTGCATGCTGAAAGACAGACTTTATCCGTAGTTTCTGTCGTTCCTCGAGGGGATGTGGTAGCAAATTGCAGTAGGTTACCACCTTGTGACTCTACATACTTTCCAACGCATCATTCATAAAAATTCTGTCATTCCTCATTAGACTCTTCATGACCTGTACAGGTGACAATGTATTAGGCTTTGCAATGACAAGATCGGTTACGTGGGTGGTAAGTAAGTATGGTGTAAACAGCCAGCGTCGATTAGATCGAGCGTCTCTGTTCGACACGTCCATAATTTTGTTATTACTACATGCAACTGCCGCCTTATACCGGGGAAATGCCAAGAAAAAACAAATGCGTAATTTAAACAAATAATTCCTAAATAACTCATACAAAAACCAATAAAAACTCGTGTCAGGTGTAAGGAGTCTGACGTTAAATGGGATAAATACGCAATACGCGTTCACTGACACAGACATGACGGGAAGAGCACTGACAGAAACCACTTACTGTTATCTCTGCATTTGTTCGTGCAGTTAAGCACGCACTGGCTGGAAAATCCTCTCAGTTTTCCGGTTACGGTATTTACTGCGCATACTGGACTGTATGAGCTCCTACATATGCACTGTGGACACAGCTGGGACGTTGCACATTGTAGCAAGAGCAGGACACATGCTGCACCTGCAAATAAATTCAGGTTAAAAGGTCGACTTAGAAAATATATTCTGCCATCTTTTACTTTCAGTCCACAAATACTGATCATATGGAGCAGGGATAGCGCAGTTGGTATAGCGACTGGCTACTGGGAGGACAACCGAGGGGTCGGAGTTCGAGTCTCAGTAGGGTCAAGAATTTTCTCTTCTCCACGTCGTCCAGACCGGCTCTGTGGTCCACCCAGTCTCCTATCCAATGGGTACAGGGGGCTCTTTCCCTAGGGGTAAACCGGCAGGGGAGTGAAGCTAAGCACTCACCTCCAACTAGTGCCAAGGTCAAGAAAGTATGGCTTTATACATTCACTCCCCCATACGCCTTTATGGCGTAGTGCTTAATTAATTAAGCACAGAGAGAAATTTACGTTTATCTTTACCACTGACCATACTTAAAAAAAAACGTAAAGTAAAGCTATCCCTGTAACAGGCCGTGGAGGCCCATAGGGTTGTGAGATGTTGAGGGTCCCACATTTTCTAGACAATCGGCTCACAGATGGCGGTAAGGTTGTCAACCTTACGTGCTGGCCGCCCTTTACCCCCAAGAATATTCCTGGCACTCATTTCTGTTAGAGGCTGAGTCGACGCCAGGGCCATAGTGTGGCTGGAAGGATTAGGTCAACTTAAAAAAAATTACCTCATCGTGATTCGATCCCGCGACCTTCCGGCTTGTACCATAATGCTTCAACCAACTAGGCTACCCCGTGATCATACATGTACTGACGAACTAAAATGCTTTTACCATACACAGATTATGTTCTTGTCCAATCTTGTATGTGTATTTTAATAAACGCAATATAATGACAACCGCTTGAAACTCAGTGGTCTCACCAAAAAGTATATTGCATTGTTTAAGACGAGAGAGAAACACTGGTGGTATTACACAAGTACTGAAGACTGACCACTGCTAACTTAACTCCTCGCTACCACAAAACTAATACAAGTCATCTTGTTTGAATCTTAGAGCAGCCATGGATAGCGAACTGTGTCGCCATTGACGTACTAAAAAGAGACTGGAACAAACGTATGTTGACTGCGGTACTTACCAATGAAGAAAACCACAGAGAGCTTCATTATGTACACTGAGTTAGAACTTGCTGAGATTCTGTGCAGGTTTGTCTATTGTCTGCCTCTTTATACCATAGGACTAACACTTCCTTTTCTCTGTCACGCGTCATGCCCAACGTCAGTGCTTACGGAATGCAGCCGGATACGAGCAGCATCCGTAAAACCCGTAGTAGTATTTGTCTTGTCTTGTTGACTAACATCATTCATGAGACACTGAAACCAGCAGGAAGTGCATGAGTCACACTGAGAACACACCTTTCTGCTATGCAGCCTTGCTTATGTCACGCTTGGGATAGCTGTTTTCCCAAAACTTTCGTGACTCCATTCTCTGGAACCTGTAACTTCAGAATCCAGACCTGACAACAACACCCACCACCAGGCATGATCCTCAGTCACTTCCATTCACATCCTTCACCATCATTTCTTTTAATGCTATCCTTCCATGTTTTTCCGTGCCTTGCCAAAGGGTTCCCCTACAGAATACCGTGTGTAGGCCTGTTTCATCTTCAGAGATACATAGGCGAATGGTAATCGTACCACAAGCGGGACTTTCGGCTTCTTCTGCGAGGTTCCTCCTTTTAAAGAGTTCCTCGAGCCACGTTTTCATTTCTGGCCGTTTGATATAATTTCCTCAGAGAGTCCTTGTTCTTTTTTATTTCCGCTAAATCCTCAATCAGTATTCATAATGTAAGATTTGAGGCTTTCACGGCGGTGACTATGAAGAAAGCAGTCTTCTGGGATTTGGCACCGTGTATATGTGGTGTTAACCGACGTTTCGGAGGAACGTATCGCCTCCATCTTCAGGATAGAAGAAAAAGTATAAGAATTCTGCAAGCGAAGAGACCGTGAGAACCGTTAAAAGCACAGTCTGCTTTTACCGGTTCTCACGGTCTCTTCGCTTGCAGAATTCTTATATTTTTTCTTCTACCCTGAAGATGGAGGCGATACGTTCCTCCGAAACGTCGGTTAACACCACATATACACGGTGCCAAATCCCAGAAGACTACTTTCTTCAATATTCATAATGATCTGCCCGTTCCCCGACGCTCTACTGGACGCCTTTCCGCTGCCCGATGTGGTGATCGGCGATCTTCCGTTCGGCTACCCTGCTCATTCATTAGCAACAGTATTTTATGTCTTCGATCTTGTACCGTTTTCTTATTTCACTTCTCGTGTAATTAGTTTTACGCTGAAGTGTTTTCCTCACACATCTCCTCCAGAAGTCTTCTTGTCTTACTAATGAACTACTGTGTATGCCTTTATTCATCGGCTATTACTCAGCTTCATATGTTACGATTAGGATTCTGAAACACGAAATTAGATTATCAGTTTGCACGGCGATTGAATGACAGGACCGCCTGGACTAAGGGGCTCTCTTCACGGCAGAGACGGCTCCGGTTTCCACAGACACTGCTGTGTGGCAATATCTCGACCGTATGTTTCCTCCATACGTGAGATTTCAGTTGGTTCTGATCACAAGATAACTGAGCTGTTAGTCGACCCAATCCCAGTTTTATTTTATTTCAGATGAGATTGACGAAAACTGTTTCCCAGTATTGGGAAAAATGCTTATGTAATTTCGTGAAGCACTCCTTCGCCTGCTGTAGTTGAGAAAGTTAAAGAAAATAAGGATTTGCGGGAAATGTTTCTTTAGAGACTTGTTTGAAGTTCCGAAGCGCATATGAGGCTACTTACAGAAACATATGTAAGTTCATATAATGCACAAGTTCGGAGTACAAATAATTACTGTACAGGTCTAGTCTCTACTTGTTACGGCAGAAGTGAATACTCCGGTTATTGGGAATTATAATCGGCGAATGTACAAAATTATCAGCAGGGGATTGTGCACTTTCAGATGTTACTATTCACTCTCAGTTAGGCACTATTACTGTGACTCGTAGCCTAAACATACACAGTATATGCACGTGTGCGTGTATATAATTGACTGGGCGATACATGCAGCAAGCAGGAGGAGACTGAAAATACAAACTGCATTTCAGTTGAAAAACCTGAAAGAAAGAGAACCGCAGGCGCAGTTGGTAAAGGGTACTTAATTAACTTGGCACCACGCCACGGGGAAGTACGGGGAGCGGACCTCGACCTCAGCACTAGATGGAGTTGAATGGTCACTATCAAGGTCTTGCCGCTTTACCACCGGGGAAAGAGCCCCTGGCACCCCTTGTGTAGGCGGCTGGGTGAGCCCCAGAGCCGATTTGGACGCTATGGAGAAAAGAATATTCTCTTGTCTCCTCCAGGAATCGAACCCCGGCCGTCCAACCCGTAGCCTGTTGCTATACCGACTGAGCTATCCTGGTTCAGGAGTAGATTGGAGAATAATACTAAAATGAATCTAAAAGAAATGCGGTTTGATTATGTGGAATGGATTTTTCTGGCTCAGGATAGGACTGGCGGAATCTTTTGAACACGCTAAAGAACCTTCGGGCTGCAAACAGGGGAGGGGGGTGAACTTATTGACGAGTTCATCAAGAAGGTTTCTGCTGAACGGTTAGTTATTTTGTTTAAAGCGAGTCGGAGGAAGAGGAGGAGGAGGAGGAGGA